TTCCTCCCTGTCCCCCCTCATCATTGTGTCCATCTGAATCACATTCTCCACCCCTTGCTATCTCTGGACTTCACACAATCTAATTTACTGCATTCGCCTCTCGCCACATGATCCCTCTACGTTAAAACGCAGACTGGCCCACGTTCCGTCTGCAAAAGAGACCCTGAGCTTCCGGTTGCCAACAGCCCCACCCTGTTCCCTGGCTGACATCTCTGTCTCAGGCTTGCTGCAGTGCTCCAGCGAAGCTCAGTGCAAGCTGGGGGGGGAGAAAAAAAACACCTCTTCATCCGCTTGGGGACCCTGCAGCCGCCCGGACTGAATGTCGAGTTCAACCACTTTAAAGCCCACTCCATCCTCCCATATCTTGTATTGGCCCACGTCTGTTACCATGTGGATGGCTTTCCACATTTCCATCCACGCTTAGGCCCGTTAACATATTGTGTGGGCTGTTTTCTGTCCAGCTCACCCACTTCTCTCCTACTCACTCAGCTTCTCCTCTGACCTGGGCCTGCTATCCGTAATCCCCCTGTTTGACCTACCCCTTTCATATCTCTCTCTCTCTCTGGGCTCCACCTCCACCTACTCACTCACCTTTCCCCTTCTCGGCTAACCTCCCCAACTTGCGCATAAGTACCACTTCTCCCGAACCTCTAGCCGTTCTGATGGGTGCGAAATCTTAACCCTGCTTTCTTCCCGCGGATGCCTCCAGTCCCGCTGAGTTCCTCCAGCGTTTTCTTGTCGAGTTTTGAATTCTGTCTGCCCATATCGCACGTGTGCACCCCCATCCCGTGCCAGCTCTCCAGTGACCGAGCGCCAAAGCCCTGTGTCTGCCCCTTGCCCGCTGCTTCAGTCCTGATGCCAGCCGAATTCCCCCTCTCCACAGCCTTGGTGGAACCCACCTCCACCCGGAGCGCAGTCCCAGACCCTTCCTTGCGGCAGGGAAAAAGGAAAGGATTTGCGTTCATTCTCGACCCAGCTCCGACCTCCCTCCCCACTGTCTCAAAACGCCGCAAAGCGGGAGTGGGCCTTTCGAACCTATTCCCTCGCTGAGAACAACGGAAGCCGATCCTCTACCTCAATGTCACCATCTTCCCAACTTCTCCCTCGCTGCCTTTAAAATCCATGAGTGTATTTGATCTCTTTCGCGACTATATTCGGCGACTTGGCCTCCGCAGCCTTCTGTACAGGTCGCTGACTGAGCCGTCCGAGTGAATAAATGCCTCCTCGCCTCAGTCTTACCCCATAATCTGAGACTCTCACCCCACCCTACCCCACCTCCGACCCCAGTTCTAGACTCTTTCCCCCCCTCCGACCCAGGGGAAACAGCCTCTCTGCATCTAGTCTGTCCAACCCTGTTAGAATTTGATACGTTTCAATCAGATTCCCCCCCGCCAACCCTCTTGTTCTTCTAAACTCCCGTGAATACATGCCACAGTCGAACCAATTTCTCCTCTATCCCCAGCTTTAGCCTCGTGAGTCTCCGCTGCCCTCCCTCTGCATCCTCTGTCAGGTAGGGAGATCGAATCCAAGGCCTATACTCCGCATCATTCTCACCTAGGCCCTTCTATAATGTCAGAAAGACATCCCTGGTACTGAACCCTGTGCCATGAAGGCCAACGTACCATTCGCCTTACAAATGATGTGCTCTACCTGCCTCTACTGCCATTGACTGGCACCCGATGACACCTTCGCACAACCAAAGACCACCTCCCGCCCTGTTCCCCACTCCTCCACCCAGATCTGCTGCCCACTCTGAACGGGGTTGAAAATGGCAGATGGGCCTTGGAGGGGGGTTTGTGAGTGTTTGAGGGCGAGGGAAGACGGGACAAGGTGGAGAATTGTTTTTTTTTCCCCGATGGAGGTCGTGCCTGGCCGGGGGTTGGGGGGCGTGCGGGTGTCGGGGGGTGCTGGTGGCGATAGTTGTTGGGGGGGGTGGCGATAGTTGTTGGGAGGGTTGGGAGGGGGTGCAGGTCAAAACACAAGCGGCAGAAATCTGGATGAGGTGGAGTCCCTGGAGGGTGGAACGTGGCAGGCCAGTTCCCTGGGGAGGATGGGGGATTAGGAGCGAGTGAGGGCTTCAGTAGCCGACGGAAATCTTGTGAGACGGGAGGGGCCTGGGGACCTTCGCCAGTCGGCGGAGGCTTGTCACGGACAGGGTGGGGGTCGGTGGGGAGGGCTCCGTCATAGCTGTGACCTCGTTGCCTCCCGACGACAGGGCCGGCAATGGTGGCGCCAATCAACGATGTCCACGGAACCGAGTGCCCAGGTTTTGTCAAGGGGGAGCGTCTCATGAGGTGCAAGATTGCCAGTGTCTACCGTCTTCTGGACATCTTTGGATGGGCCCAGCTGGCCAAGACCTACATCACGGTGAGTGCTGTTGGCGAGATTGGTGGTTGGAGGGGGGGTTGAACTCCAAGTTGGCACAATGCCACAATAAGGCAGGGAAGGGTCGGGGGGGGTGCCTGCTGGAGGTAAACCGGGTGTTTGTCAATGTCGGGCAGTCTTGCAGGCCAGGAGCCCTCTCAACGTCAGTGTAGCCTCTTTGGATGGGCATCTGTTCCATTCACGCTCTCATCAGGTTGGCACTGTCACGTCCATGCCCAGAGGGGATGGGGGTGGTGGCAGGCAAGCTGGAGGAGGAGAGGGAGGGAATGACATGGGGTGGGGTGGGGTTGGCAGGAAGCAATCAAGGACCAGGCCATTCGCCCCCCTCCTGTTCCGCCACTCAGTAAGATCTGATTTCTCTCTGCATAACTCTCCCTCCAATAACCTTTCATCAGTCCCCTCTTGACCATCAAGAATCTATCTACCTCTGGCCCTGAAAAAAAAAATTTAAAGATTTTGCATTTGAGGAAGGGAATCCCAAAGCCTCTGAGAGATGGAAAAGTTATTCTCTTAAATGGGCCCTCCCTATTTTTAAACCATGTCCCCTCGCTCTAGATTCACCCACAGAGAGGAAACCTCCTTTCCGCAACCTCCCACAGTCCCCTCAGGATCTTACATTTCAATTCAGTCACCTCTGCCTCTTCTAAATCCCAGAGGGTACAGGCCTAGCCCTGTCTAGCCTTTCCCCATAATCATTTCAGGGATTAGCTGACTAAACCGTCTCTGAAATGCTTCCTCTGCATTAGCATCCCTCTGCAAGTACAGTGACCAGTACTGGATACAGTAAACCAGATGCGGTCTCACCAACACCCTGTTATATCTGAAGCCTAACCTCCCTACTCTTCTATTCAATGAATTATAACGTTTCGAGATTTCCTGATTACTTGCTGTATTAGCGCTGGTTTGGACCAGGCCAAACCTCCCCCCCACCTCAAAATATATTTAGAAGACAGCCTAGACCCTAACTTTTATTCTTATTTTCAAGCCAAGTGCCAGGCGTTGCATTCCGAATCATAATTCGATCACTGAGACAACCAGCAAAACACCATTTATTCTGACACTGTAGTTAAAATACAACAAAAGAAAGAAGAAATTGGAATAACCCAACTCTATTCAAAAAGTTGAGAAGATAATGTCAAGGGAGGATGGCCTAGTGGTTTTATCGCTGGACTGTTAATCCAGAGACCCAGATAATGGTCTGGGGACCTGGGTTCAAATCCCGTCATGGCAGATGGTGGAAGTATTAGTATACAAGTACTAAGTATTTAGAATTAAGAACCTAACAATGACTGTCAATTGTTGGAAAAACCCATCTGGTTCACTAATGCCCTTCAGGGAAGGAAACTGCCATCCTTACCTGGTCTGGCCTACATGTTACTCCAGATCCACAGCAATATGGTTGACTCTTAACTGCCCTCTGGGCAATTAGGGATGGGCAATAAATACTACCTGGCCATTGTCGCCCTCATCCTGTGAATGATTAAAAGAAAAAAAAATAGATTATTTAACCACTGAACAGTAACTGTTCCAACATCCGATGGCCCACACCCTTGGCAAAGGCAAATTTGGTAAAACTGCCTCACAGGCAGTTCTCCAGTCCAGGAGGAAACCAAAACATCAAGAGAAAATTCTGAGAGAGTAGCTGAGAGAGATGCACTGTAGCTTCGAAACCCAGCTTCAAGATCCCAGCAACTGAAAGACTAAAACGAAAAATCCTGGCTGTGCTGGAGCTTGACCACCCACACCCCCCCACCCACCCGTTCAGGCTGTTTCTATTGTTTCAACTTCTTTTTAGAAAGAGCTCTCAAGGTGTTTATTTCATGGGCTTTGGAGCAGACTGCTCGGGTCCTCTGTCACAACCTTTCTTCATTAAAAGAAAGACAAAAGTATTGATGCACTGCACACTTAATCTTCCGTGAATAATGCACAATGACTACCAGATTCCTCTGCACTCCGAGCTCTGCAGCCTCTCACCTGTTAAATAATATGCATTGTTTTATTTTTTGGAGGCAACTTCACACTTTGTACCCCATTTGCCAGATCTTTGCCCACTCACTGAACCCATCTATCTCCCTCCTTGCGTCCTCTATCTTTGACCTATCTTCGTGTCATCGGAAAATTTAGCTCCCATACCTTCAATTCTTGGTCCAAATCATTTCTGTAAGTTGTCAAGAGTTGAGGGCCCACAACTGACCCCTGTGGCACACCACTCTCAATGTTCTAGCCCGAAAAAACAAATCTGACTCTTTGCTCCCTATTCACCAATCTTCTCTTGACGCTAATCTTTATAAAATCAACTTGTCCACCTCTCGCCTTCAGCTGATGGACATTGTGAGAGGGAGCCCGCCTGTTGGTGAAATGGGGCAGGAGCAGGGTTAGGTGCTAGTATGGAGCTGGCAGGCCGAGTGGCCTAGGAAGACGAGAGAAGCGTTGCGGATTCCTAACGTCTCGCCGTGTTCAGAGCGGTCAACCCGGAGGCGGTGGGGGCGGGGAGTTGGTGGTGCTGAAATGTTGAGGGTGGGGTGTTGGGGGTTGAAATTTCGGGGATATCGACACGCAAACAGGCAGAAGGGTCTTTCCCACCACTGGCTGACTGTCCTTACCGGTGTGTTTTGCCCACAGCTGCGCGTCAGTAAGGAGCAGGGTCACTTCCTCATCATTCCCAGAGGGATTTCATACGGGGAGGCCTCCGCTTCAGTCCTGGTGAGTACCCGCGAGTTAGGGAGAGGAGAGGATGAGGTCGGCGATGTCAATGGGCGCATAATCCAGAAAGGAGACTCAGGAAATTCCCTCGTCAGGATCGCATGCTGGCGGCTGACGGGATTTCAGCGCCGTGAACAAACTCTCGGAATTGACAAACCCCCCCTCAGGAATTGGTTGGGGCAATCGATTTCCGTACAAACCCATCTGGTTCACCAATGCCCTTTGACATGTGCCACCCTTACCCGGTCTGGCCTATCTGCTAATCCGATCCACTCGTGCCAACCAATCAGCTCCTGTTTCCACGCTGTATAAATCGTTGTCCCCTTCACGTTTGGCGTTCTTCCAACCCTGTCCTGACGGTCGAAAAACGTGAAGTGTGTTTGTTTTCATTTATATTGACAGTTTGAATGAGAATCTCGAAGGCCTGGTTAGTAAGTTTGCAGATGACACCAACATTGGTGGGACAGTGGACAGTGAGGAAGGTCATCTGAGATTTCAAAGGGTATCTAGGTCAACTGGGCCAATATGTGGAGTTTAATGCAGATGAACGCGAGGTATTGCGTGGTGGGAAGACAAACCAGGGCAGGGCCTACACAGTTAATGGCAGGGCACCTGGGGAGTGTGGTCCAACAGAGAGAACTATGGGTACAGGTACGTAGTTCCTGGAAGGTGGAGTCACAGGTAGACAGGGTAGTGAAGAAGGCGTTTGGTATGCTTGCCTTTATTGGTCAGTGCATTGAGTATTGAAGTTGGGAGGGTCATGTTGTGGCTGTACAGGACATTGGTTAGGCCAAATCTGGTATACTGTGTACAGTTCTGGTCATTCTGCTAAAGGAAGGATATTTTTAAACTAGAGAGGGTGCAAAAAAGATGAACAAGGATGTTACCGGGACTGGAGGGTTTGAGTTATAAGGAGAGGTTGGATCAGCTGGGACTTGTTTTCCTTGGAGCGTAGGGGGCTGACGGGTGACCTTATAGAGGTTTATAACATCATGAGGGGCATGGATAGGGTGAATAGTCAGGGTCTTTTCCCCATGATGGGGGGAGTCCAAAACTAGAGAGTTTAAGGTGAGAGGGGGAAGATTTAAAAAGAGAGCTGAGGGGCAGCTTTTTCCCACAGAGGGTGGTGCGTGTGTGGAATGAACTGCCAGAGGAAGTGGTGGAGGCTGGTACAATTACAACAGTTAAAAGACGTTTGGACAAGTGTGTGTGTTGGAAAGGTTTACGGGGACATGGGCCAAACACAGTTAAATGGGACTAGTTTAGTTTGGGAAACCTGGTCAGCATGAAGGAGTTGGGCTGAAGGGCCTATTTCCATGCTGTAACGATTCAATAAGTGGGCAAGCAGGTAGCAGATGCAGTTAAATGCGGATATGCATGTTCCAGGGAACAAGACGGACAGAGAGAGACAGCAGATTCTGTTCTGAGGGAAGCATATAAGTTCTTGATGGTGGCCAGGCAGGATGGCTACAAGATACAGCATTTTCAGGCTGAGATAGGGATCTCTGATCCAGTCTGAGTTCAAGTAAAAGTGCCCAGTGCGAACACATCAAAGCTACTTTGGATGTGGGTGAGCTATTTTCAGACAGAAGGTCTCTCGTTGTCCAAGTCACAAGGAAAAGATTCTTCTCAATTCTGAAGATGAGCCCACAACATCACCAGTGGTGGCTCAAACACTTTGGTGAGGCATCTTGGGATCTTTTAATCCTGACCAACAGAAGTCATCGTTGCTAGGTCTAGCTTCCGCAATGCCCTAAAATTGAGTTGTTTTTATAAAAATGATGCACAAGTGGAAGCCTTCTCTCCCTGAAAAATAGCATTGACTTTCATCAAGCCTATTCTGTGAAAATTGATCTTGTTGGAACTACCTCAATCTGACCACAAGGTAAGCCTTTGTGCCTGCCAAAACCATGTGCAAGATAGACTCCCTGGGCCTGAACCACTAGGAGAACAGGCCTTTGGGGCCACCTGAACCAGGTTTTTATGCCCACCTATTCCAGGCCTTTGGATCTATCTGAGCCAAGACAGGCTTTTAGTCGTACCTGATCCAACGCAGGGTTTTTGGCCTACCTGAAGCAAAATAAGCTATTGGGCCTACCTGAGCCAAGACAGGCTTTCGGGTATATCTGAGCCAAGATGGGCATTTGCGTCCACCTGACCAAGTTAGCCTTTTGGGCCTACATGACTAAATCACGCTTTTGGGTTTACATGACTAAGACAGGCTTTGAGGCCTACCTGAGCCAGGACAGGGTTTTGAGCATATCTGAGCCAAGACAGGCTTTTGGGTCTACCTGGACTATGTCGGGTTTTGGGCCTACCTGACCAAGACAGGCTTTGGGGCCTGTCTGAGCGAGTGGTTTCACTCACATAGGAAGCCCAACCGCTTGGCCGATGTCTGCTCCTCCCATTGTCAGGCCTCTTCTCCTTCTTCCCTCTGAACTGTTTGTGCCTAACACTGCCGATCTCTCCCCGGCAGGTCAAGGTGAACATCGTGGGAGGCGTGGTGAACCAGGGCAGCAGCGGACTTCCCGTAGACTGCGCGGGATTCGGCCTGCACTCGGCCATCTACGCTGCCCGGCCTGACGTCTGTTGCGTCATCCACTTGCAGACTCCAGCCACGGCCGCAGTGAGTACATTGGGAGCCCTGTGCAACTGGAGCGACCATCCCTGATCCTGTACTCCAATCCTCTCGCCATGAAGGGGACAACATTCCCATTCTCCATCTTCACCGCCCGCTGCTCTAGCAAGGCTGACTTTCAGCGACTGGCGTAGGAGGAACTTTGCACCTTGCCCCCTTTTCCCGTTCGATTGCCATTCGGATAATAATCTGCCTTCCTCTTTCTCTCCCAGAGCCAATAATCTCACACCGATCCCCCATTAAACTGCATCTGCCACACATTTGCCTGCTTACTCAACTCATCCCAATCACACTGAGGCATCCAAACCTGGAGATATTAATTAGTTCCCACCCCTACATCACTCATATCTACAGCAAACATTGTTTTCTGAAGCAGCCTTCTCGATAAACCAGCCAAAAAAATTATAACCTCATATACCATGAAGTTCACTGTATTATTCTGTCCAGTTGTTATTGTGGTTGAATTTATTTACCTCAATATAAATATAATTGTTCTTCAATCAAATGGATGCACGAAATATCAGCAGTTGATTCAATTTCAAGTCAATTTCTCCTCAAATAACATGATCTAGTAATCAGTCGAAGTCTCTCGGTCGATATGTGTTAATTAAAGTAAAGATGCATTATTATTTCAGTGATTTCTGCTGTAAAGACCAACAATGATGTGTATACCCACCCCTGCTTTACATTTCTGTCACTCAGCGTTTGTTTTTACATGGGTAATGATTGCCCAGAATATTGGATCAACCCACACTCTCCTGGTCCCATTGGTGCCAGCTAATAAACCATTTACTGCATTGTGAATAGCTGAGGTCCGAGCACTGATCTCCGCAGCACCCCACTGGTCACTGCCTGCCATTCTTATAAAGGCTGATTAACTTGGAGCTATTCCTTTTCGGTTTTCCAGGTTTCTGCCATGAAGTGTGGCATTTTACCGATATCCCACGAGGCCTTGTTAATCGGAGACGTGGCTTACTATGAATACAACGGAGCCCTGGACGAAGAGAAGGATAGGATCCAACTCCAGAAATGCCTCGGCCCGACGGCGAAGGTACAGCACGTGTCAGCCACTCAATGTCCAATTTCGACTTTAGCCTCGCTCCAATCTGGCTCACGTCCTCGCTGGACCGGGGTGCGGAAAGGCACTGGGTTTGACCCTCTCTCGCAGTATGAACCCTGACCCCTGACACTTGCACCCACTATCTGTTGGCACTCGCCAGCCCCTTGATGCTGGGGATCTCCTTTACCCTGACAGTGCCTGATGGCGTGAGCTCGTGCTAAATTGAGTGACAGATGTCTCCTGGCCTTAACTTGGTATCAACTGGCATTCCTTGCTCAGCCTCTCTCATGCCAACCTCATGTTCATTTTCTTTTACCCACTCATGGGACGTGGGCGTCGCTGGCCGGGCCCAGTATTTATTGCCCCATTCCCCCCTAACAGCCCCCTTTGAGAAGGTGGGGGTGAGCCGCTGCACAGTGCCCTCAGGGAGGGAGTTCCAGGATTCTGACCCAGCGACACTGAAGGAACGGCCGATATATTTCCAAGTCGGGGACGGTGAGGGGCTTGGAGGGTGAACTTGCAGGGGGTGGTGTTCCCATGTACCTGCTGCCCCTTGTCCTTCTGGATGGAAGTGGGTCGTGGGTTTGGAAGGTGCTGTCTGAGGGGCCTCGGTGAGTTGCTGCAGTGCATCTTGTAGATGGTACACGCTGCTGTTACTGAGCGTCGGTGGTGGGGGGAGTGGGATGTTTGTGGGTGTGGGGTCAATCGAGCGGGGGGCTGCTTTGTCCCTGGATGGTGTCGAGCTTCTCAAGTGTTGTTGGAACTGCCCCCATCTGGGGTAAGTGGGGAGTATTCCATCACCCTCCTGACTTTTGCCTTGTCGATGGTGGGACAGGCTTTGGAGGGGGAGTCAGGAGGGGAGTTACTCGCTGCAGGATTCCCAGCCTCTGACCTGCTCCTGTAGCCGCTGTGTTTACGGTTGGCAGATGTGCATTTCTGGCCAATGGTAACCCCTGTTGAGTAGTTTTCTCCCACACCTCTTGCCTCGACCAAACACACCATCAACCCATCCCCAAACTAAGCACCAAATAATGGTACAACTGCCACACTATTGCATCTGACCCAACCCCTCCCCCACCGAATGAACAAAATAAATGTCATGTCAATGACTGTAAATTAATGCCAGCCACAGTGCTCGAGACTGGGGTCATGTCGGAGTGATGTGCAGGACAGCTCGGACACGTGGAAGAGTTTGCAATGCATGGCAGTCACTGCAATGCAATATACTGTTGACCTCAGTTCCCTCTTGCTTCCAGGTTCTGCTTTTAAGAAATCATGGAGTTGTTGCACTCGGCGAGACAGTGGAAGAGGCCTTTTACAAAATTTACCACCTTCAGTCAGCCTGTGAGATCCAGGTAAGGCTTTTGGTCATGTCCTCACCTGATGACTCTGGATAAGAATTGTCCCAGGGACAGTATTCTCCAGCCTTCCTGTCGTCATCCTCATTCCAGGGAGAACCGCACAGCAACTCAGTTCATGGCCACTGTTGTCAATAGGAAGATTAAGGTCGGTTTGAAAGGATTTAGACTCTGAGAGAACCCCCCCCACACAAAACCGAGAGGGAGGGAGAGAGACCCCCCCACCCCCCCAAAAACCGACAGAGGGAGAGGCGGAGAGAGAGACAGCCCGTCCCGGAGGATTTGAGATGGCGGGGTGATTGGCCCCTCGAGGTTTCTCTCTGGGCTCTCCCCAGTTGTTGCTGGTGGTTTATTTGTGGGGTTGGTTTTTCGTACACTATCCCCCCCCCCCCCCCCAATTTGTTGCTTCGCTGCCCTCGGCCCTGACCCTCGCCATACCCAGTGATGCCCCTTACCCATATGGCACCGTGCCAGTGTCTGCTGCTCTGAGCTGACCCCAGTGCCCCTCCTATTGCAGGTCTCGTGCCTCTCCTGTGCCGGGGGAGTGGAGAACGTGACCCTCCTGGACCGCGAGCGGTACCGGCCTCTTGAGGCTGGCGCGCTGGCCCGGGCGGTCACCACCTTCGGCCCCGTGCAGAAGAGCCGGCTCGGGGAGCATGAGTTCGAGGCCCTGATGAGGATGTTGGACAACCTGGTGAGTGAACCTGGCCAGGCGTTCCCTCGGGAGGTTGTGGGAGGTGTCAGGGTTGGGCGGAGGGGGTGGAGGAAGCGTGCGGGTTGTCTCATGATGCCCACTTAGAGGGTTCGAGCAGACAATGTCCCCAAGAACCAAGCTGGAGCTGTCAATGCCATTCCATTATGCCCCTCATCAGGACCGGATGGCAAGAGTGCCAAAACTCGGTGGGAACAACAATTTAGAGGACGCTAGAAGAGGGTGCAGAGCTGGAAGTTGGCAGACAGTGGGAAAATTGTTAAACAGTGAGGAGGATAGCCTACAGTTACAAGGAGGATAGAGATGGGCCAATCAGTGGCTGGTAGAATTCAGGACAAGTGTGAGATGATGCACTCGGGCAGGACAAATAAGGCAAGGAAACACCAGATGAACAGTAGGCCCCTGGGAAACACCGAGGGTCAGAGGGGTCTTGCTGTACATGTACCCAGGTCCCTAAAGGTAGCGGAACAGGGCGATAGAGTCGTTCAGAAGGATTATGGGATACCTTCCTTCATTAACCGAGGCGTAGAGTTTAGGAGCAGGGAGGTTTGGCTGGGAACTGTATATAAAACGTCAGTTAGGCCACACAGCAAGAGTATTGCGTGCAAGTTCTGGAATCCACGTTATAGGAGGGATGTGATAGCACTGGGAGAGGGGGCAAAGGGAGATTTACCAGGATGTTGCCTTGTGGGGCCTGGAGAGTTTCAGTTCTTGAAGAGAGATTGGGACAGATTGGGGGTTGTTTTCCTTAGAGCAGAGGAGATTGAGAGGGGGGACGTGACTGAGATGGATAAAACGATGAGGGGTATCGATAGGGTAGACAGGAAGGAACTTTTCCCCATGGGGGAGGGATCAAAGACCGGGGTGGGGGGCATAGATTTAAGGGAAGGGGCAGGAGGTTTAGAGGGGGACTGGAGGAAAAATGTTTTCACCCAGAGGCTGGTGGGGAATCTGGAAGTCACTGCCTGTAAGGGTGGGAGAGGCAGAAACCCCCATCCCATTGAAGAAGGATTTAGATGGGCACTTGCCATGCCAAGGCTGTGGGCCAAGTGCTGGGAGACCGGGATTGGAATAGTGAGGTGGTTGTTTCTGACTGGCACAGACTCAATGGGCCGAAGGGTCTTTTTCTGTACTGTTGATGACTCTTGTTTGGCGATCTGATTCCAATTGGTAGGGCCCTTGTCAGCGGGATGTGCCAGGGAACAGCTAGCATGAGCTGTTTGCTGAAATTTCGTTGATAATAAAGCCTTGAAGATGTTCATAAAATAAATAGTTCGGATTGGCTGACTGGCAGAAGGCAGGGAGTGGGGGGATAAAGGGGTCTTTTTCAAGATGGCAGCTGGTGACTAGTGGAGTTCCTCAGGGGTCAGTATTGGGACGTGAAACGTTATACATTAACGATCGGGACAAAGGAACTGAGGGCACTGGTGCTACGTTTGCAGATGACCCAAAGATAACTGAGGGACAGGTCAGCGTTGAGGAAGTGGGGAGGCTGCGGAAGGTCTTGGACAAGCTGGGAGAGTGGGAAAAGATGTAGCAGATGGAATACCATGTGGGAAAGTGCGAGGTTATGCACTTTGGGAGGAAGGTTAGAGGTGCAGAGTATTTTCTAAATGGGGAAAGGCTGCGGAAATCTGAAACACAAAGGGTCTGGGAGTCCGAGTTCAGGATTCTGTTCGCGTTACCATGCAGGTTCAGTTGGTAGTTATGAAGGCAAATGCAATGTTAGCGTTCACTTCGAGAGGGGGCTAGAATACAGGAGCAGGGACATACTGCTGACGCTATATAAGGCTCTGGGTCAGGCCGCGTTTGGAATATTGAGAGCGGTTTTGGGCCCCATATCTGAGGAAGAATGTGCTGGCCTTGGAGGGTGGGTCCAGAGGAGGTTTACAAGAATGATCCCGGGGATGAAGGGCTTGTCGTATGAGGAGCGGGTGAGGACACTGGGTCTGTACTCGATGGAGTTTAGAAGGATGAGGTGGGGAATCTGATTGAAACGTACAGAATACTGAGAGGCCTGGATAGAGTGGACAGGGAGAAGATGCTTCCACTCAGTAGGAGAGACTAGGGCCTGAGGGCACAGCCTCAGGGTGAAGGGACGACCTTTAGAACTGAGATGAGGAGGAATTTCTTCAGCCAGAGGGAGGTGAATCTGTGGAACTCATTACTGCAGAGGGCTGTGGGGCCAAGTCATTGAGTGTCTTTAAGACAGAGATAGAGAGGGTCATGATGAGTGAGGGGGGTCAAGGGAGAAGGCAGGAGAGAGGTGTTTAGAAACATACCAGCCATGATAGAATGAGCGAGCAGACTCGATGTGTCGAATGGCTTAATTCTGCCCGAGGTGATCGAGACAAGTTGTGAGTGAGCTAAGACATTTGCAGTGTAACGCAGCCAATGTGAAGGTATACACTCTGGTGTGAGAAGCAGTATGATTTAAATAGTGATAGATTCAGATATGTGGGTGTTCAAAACTGTCCTCAGACACCAGTCAATGGCAGCAGGCAGGCAGGTACAACCAACAATTGGGAAGGCAGACAGATGTTGGCCTTTCGTTGCAAGGGATTGGTGCTCGGAAATCGGGATGCCTTACTGCAGTTCTACAGGGTGAGGCCACTCCTGGAGTAGTGTGCGCAGTTTTGATCTCCCCACCCGAGAGAGGAGACGGAGGGAGTGCAGCACACACTCACTCGGCCCATGCTATCGAGGCCACACAAGCGGATTTAGGCAGGAATAAACGCAGCCGGGATATTACTGGAAGTGTCTCGGGGCGCTCCATTTGTTGTAGGAATTCCCAGGGCTGCGCTACAGTGCTGGAAAGGTGGCCTAAAGTGATGAGGTTTTGGGATGGGAATGGTGTGCAGGGATATGAGCAGAAGGTATGATATTGTGCATAAGGGGATAGAAGCAGGGTGCAGGGACAAATGGCCTCCTTTTGTGCTGTAACAACTGTGTGTTGATTTCTGAAAACTATAAGCTCTTCCAGACAGACACCCGGCAAAGGGTAGATGAATAAGCTTTATCCCGATCAAAGGAAGTGGTGGGAGGTGGGAGGTGTAGTTGGAGGCCTCAGCCCAGGAGACACGGAGTTAACCCTTGTTGGTACGACAGGGCTATCGGACAGGCTATGCCTACAGGCACCCGGTTGTCCAGGAGAGAGCCAAGCACAAGAGCGAGGTGGAGATCCCCGCGACCGTGACGGCGTTCGCCTTCGACGAGGACGTGTTGTGCCCGTCGGCGCTGCGGCACCACAGCCAGAGGCAGCAGCTGGAGAAGACACGGTGGCTGAACTCACCCAACATCTACCTGAGGGTCAGTGACGATCTCCACGGAGACGCCGGCAGGGAGCGGGCCAGAACCACGGTAAGGAGCTTCCGGGAGGCCGTGCCGCCCCCAAAACCAATCCTGCTTTCCCACTCCCCGCCAGCTCGGCCCTTCGTCTGAGTACGTTCTCAGTGGCTGCGAGGTTTCCTGCCTTTAATAGCCTCCCAGGCATTCCCAGATTCCCGACGCCCTCTGGGTGAAAACATGTTGCTGCCTTTCACCTTAAAATGACTCCCCGCATCCCCCCCCCCCCCCCCCTCCAACCCCACCTAACCTTGTCACTGACCCTTTGACTTTCTATACCCGTCCCCCACCCTGTCCATTGTCCCTCATCCCTCATAATCTTAAACACCTCTATTGGGTCTACCCCACCCCCAGCCTTCTCTGCTCCAAAGAAAACAGCCTGAGCTTATCCAGCCTCTAACCTGCTCCATCCTGGGCAACATCCTGGTGAACCTCCCTCTGCCACCAGCACCCCCCACCACCCTTCCAGTGCAATCCCATCCTTCCTATAGTACAGGACCAGAACTGCACGCAGTACTCCAGCTGTGGGCCTCACCAAAGTCCTGGACTGCTCCAACATAACCTCCCCTCTCTTACAATCTCCACCTCAAGGCCCCATCTTAACCACCCTATCAACCTACTCTGTCGCCTTCAGGGGTCTGTGCACACACTCTATCTGTCCCCCTGAGACTCTGAGTGACCTGCCCACTCATGGGGAGTACTCCCTGCGTCTTGTTCCTCCTCCCAAACTGCATCGCCTCGCCCTTAAACTCCATCTGCGCAATCCATCTCTATCCCCCTTTAATCCACACCTTCCTCCTCTCTGTCAGCCACCCGATTAATCTTCACATCATCTGTAAATGTATTTATCCTTCCCCACCTCCCCACCAACATTTCCTTCCATATTTGTGTGTAGAAGCCGCTTTGAGAGTTAAGTGCAGCAGTTGTTGTTGCTTTTCTGTCAAGCAGCCAGTAGATGTTGGCTGACAAACCCACATTTTTGTTATGGGAGTTGAGTTTGCTCCTGTGTAATTATTTCAGGGCACGGTGACAATGAAGGGAGGAAAGGATCTCATCCGGTTCCTCACCAACCTGGGCGCTGGCTCTCTAACATAATAAATATTTCTTTTAAGGCACAGGTACATAGGTTCTTCAGGACGCAAACGATTATCGTGAAATACGCAGGAAGGTAGAGTCAAGGTTCAAATCCGCTCAGCAACGGTCTTATCGAATGGCCTCAAAGGACCATGAGATGTAGGAGCAGAAGTGGGCCATTCAGCCCTTCGAGTCTGCGCTCCCATTCAATGACCTGTTCGTCCTCAACTCCATTCTCCTGCCTCGAGGAAACCCTCAATTCCCCTTCCCTGATTTAAAAATCTGTCTGTCTCACCCTTGAATGACTCCCCTTGGAGTGAAGAAATTCTTCCTCATCTCCATCTTCAATGGGTGACCCCTTACTCTAGGATTACACCCTCTGGTCCTGGACTCTCCCACAAGGCGAAATACCGTCTCCACATCTCACCCTGTCAAGTCTCTCTAAGAATCTTGTCTGTTTCAATAAGGTCGCCTCTCATTCCTCTAAATGAGTACAGGGCCTGACCTACTCAACCTCTCCCCATAAGACAGTCCCTCTGTACCCGGGATCAGCCGAGTGAACCTAATCTGGGCTGCCTCCGATGGCTGGTCTATCTCTGCTTGCATACAGGGCCCCAAAACTGTTCACAGTATTCCAGCTGTGGTCTTGACTCGTGCATAGTACAGTTTTAGCGCAACCTCCCCACTTTTATACTCCATTCCCTTTTAAATAAAAGGCCAACGTTCCATTCAGCTTCCCTAATCCCCACTGAACCTGTATGCTGGCTTTCTGCGTTTCATGGACAAGGATTCCCAAATCGTTCAAGAGTCTTCCTCCATTGGAATCATATTGAGCTCCTCCATTCTTCCAGCCAAAGTGCATCACCTCACGTTTTCCAACATTATATTCCGTCTGCCTACTCATGTAACCTGCCAACATCCCTCTGCAGAGTCCTTGAGTCATCCTCACCATTCGCCTTCCCACCTATTTATGTGTCATCTCCGAACTTGGCATTAGTACATTCCTTTCCCTTTACCAAGTCACCGCCCACTCTTCCCCATATCCCCTTGATGTGAAGTGCATTACTTTAAAATGGCCTTAATTATCGCTCTCTCTCTCTGAACTGATGCAAACTCTTGATTGAACAGGGGCGTCTGTTTAAGAGTAGCTGTTGTCTCTGAGTCTGAACAGGGCCCTTGCTAAAAGCACTCGGAAATGTCAATGATAGCATCGGCGGTGGAAATGTCATGGGGCCCTCCTGGTTGAGAGTGAGCTTGTGGTGGTGGTGAGAGGGGGGGGGGGTGTGGGGGGGGTGGGTGCCAGGCCTGAAGGTGTGGTAGCAGAAATAAGCCATTCAGCCCATCGAGTCTGCCCTTCAGTCCAAGGATCCAACCGTGGGCTGAATGGCCTCCTCCTGTTCTCGTGTAACAGCCTCGAGGAGGGTTGAATGGCCTCCTGTTCCTGTGTAACAGCCTCAAGGATAGGGCTGAATGGCCTCTTGTTCCTGTGTAACAGATGTGAGGAGGGGGCTGAATGGCCTCTTGTTCCTGTGTAACAGATGCAAGGAGGGGGCTGAATGGCTTCCTGTTCCTGTGTAACAGATGCGAGGATCATCAGCAGAAATATCCTTCCCAAATTTTGAATTCTAATGAGTTGGATGCATTAGATCTGTAGTAGGGTTGTTTTTTCTATCACTTTCATACATTGAAAAAACGAACTCGTCAACCGTTTTCATTGCAGTTTTATTTCATAATTTACTTACACGACAGTGGACACTGGCAGTGATCTCTGTTATGCCAGTGCGTGTTGCCAGTGACTGCAGTTGTGCCAGTGGGCACTGGCAATGATCTCTGTTATGCTAGTGCACGTTGCCAGTGACTCTAGTTGTGACAGTGGACACTGCCAGTGATCTCTGTTATGCCAAAGATCTCTGTCCTACCAGTGTGCTCCACCAGTGACCTCTGGCAGTTTACTTCACCAGACCACTTTGCCAGTGTTCTCCGTGCCGTCCTCTGGCAGCCCGCCGCACCTCTGGGCACGGTGAGATGGCGGGCAGGGTTGGGGGGGTGGTTTGCTGACAGCATAGCGACCGGAAGTGACGTGCGTGTGTGTTGATCCGAAACAGTGGCTGAAGGCTGATGAGGTGTCGAAATCCAGCAGCGGGACCCCAATCAAGATTAAAACCCCCAACCAGTTTGTGCCTCTGTTTACAGACCCTCGGGAAGTGCTTGAAACCAGGAATAAGGTAAGCACCCCCTCGCAAGAACCCTGAAGCTATCGAACATAACATGGTAGCAGCCTTTTGGCATAACACAGCCAAGAATGAGAGGTGCTCCTAGCTGGGATTAAAACTGACGACAGCTGATATTTAGCTACAACACAAAGAAATGTGCCCAACATTTATTTTTAAAAAATGGACTGGACCGGGTAGATGCGGAAATGATATTTCCTCTCTGTGGGAGAATCTAAATCGAGGGGGTCACTGTTTAAAAGCAAGGGGTTCATTTAAAACAGAGATGAGGAAATGTTCCTTTCTCAGAAGGGTTGTGAGTCTTTGGAATTGTGACGATGCTGTGGCTTCAAGAGGTTATTTTGTCCTGAATTTTTTTTTTTGAAGAGGAGTTGTAAGGCAGAGGTGAAAAAACAGTCTACCAGATCGACTAGAAAATTAGCTTGTGAGGCCTTTGGGTTTCTTTTAAAACTGGAACAATAGAAGCAGCTTGACTGGGTGGTGACCAGCTCTCACAGAGCAGGAATTCTGTTTTTTTTTTAGTTTTTAGGTTTAACTTTGGCCGTCGCTGCTGGGGTCTTGCAGAAGTGGATGTTATTTGTCCCTCTCTCATTGAATTGTCGGATTACATGTGGGACAATTTATCTTTTTCTGAATTTTTGCCAAGGGAGTGTGTTCAGGGGATGTTACACTAATGGAACAGTTCATTGATCTCTGTTATGCCAAAGATCTCTGTCCTACCAGTGTGCTCCACCAGTGACCTCTGGCAGTTTACTTCACCAGACCACTTTGCCAGTGTTCTCCGTGCCGTCCTCTGGCAGCCCGCCGCACCTCTGGGCATGGTTACTTTATCTATTGTTCTGTTACGTTTTCCAATAGAGTTGTTTATTCCAAATAACGCTTTCTTTCGTTTTGTATTTTAACTCCCGTTCACACAAAATGCGTTTTTGCTAAACATCGAGTAGTTTGACCAATTGCATTGCATCTGGAACAGAGTTCTTGACACATAAAAATAAGAAAAAGTTTGGGTTTAGGCGATCCTCTTAAAATATTTTGAGGGGTTCTGGTCCATGACAGAATTCTGTTCCTCAAAAGGCAATGAATGCAGAAATGTTTTGCATTTTATTTTTAAGGCAGAGGTAAATAGATGTCTGATGATAAAAAGTTAGTGAGGGAATATGAAGGGTGGTGGAGTAAAATCGGACCAGATTTTATTGAATGGCAATCGATTGATAGGGATGACTTGCCTACTGTTGCTGCCTGTTCATCAATTTGCACCCCCCAATCTCTCTCTCAGTGGTTGAGGTTCCTTTTGTTCTGAACTGCATGTTGGATTGATGCAGCTGCCTCACTGTAAGGTGAATACAGACAACTGCAGACTTTCCATAGTACACTTCACACAGGCAGCTACAGGCACATCGAAAATGAGAGTGGGAAGATAACGGGGGGAAGCAAAGGTGCAGTGCGTGAGGGATGCAGGAGAGACAACAGAAAGCAGACAGTAAGAGAGACACAGAGTCATAGCATTGTACACCATGCAAACGGACCCTTCGGCCCAAATCTTCCATGCTGACCAGATATCCTAAACTGATCTAGTCCCATTTGCCAGCATTTGGCCCCTATCCCTCGAAATCTTGGTATTCATGTACCCATCCAGATGCCTTTTAAATGTTGTCATTGTATCAGCCTCCACCACTTCCTCTGGCAGCTCGTTCCATACACGTACCACCCTCTGTGTGAAAATGTTGTCCCTCAGGTCCCTTTTAAGTCTTTCCCCTCTCACCTTAAATCTATGCCCCTCTAGTTTTGGACTCCCCTATCCTGGGGAAAAGACCTTGCGTATTCACCTTATCCATGCCCCTCATGAGTTTATAAACCTCTATAAGGTCACCCCTCAGCCTCTGACGCTCCAGGGAAAATAGCCCCAGCCTATTCAGCCTCTCCCTATAGCTCAAACCCCCCAATCCCGGCAACATCCTCTTAACTCTTTTCACAACAAGAGGCACTGAGAGAGGTGCTGACGAAAGCGGGGAGAGAGAGAGAGGTGAAGGAGGAGTCAGATGAAATGACGATTGAAATTGACATGTGAGAGGCACAGAGGGAGCAAGAAACTGAACAAGTCAAAAGACAGAAATTTGGATATGAGCACTGTTTCAGCAATACATTGGCTGCGTTTAGCTTTTTTTTATTAAAACAAAAGAGCATAACATCAAAAGTTTTTTACCCTATGCTCGGCTAGACAGAACTGGTATAAATTGTTGTGCCCACTGCATTTTGGAACTCTTGCCATTCTGTCCAGATGACCGTAAGGTGGGCATAAGGTTTCCAGCAGGAAGTCAGCAGGCGGGTCGAGGGGCAGAACGGTTCGAGAGAGATTGAGGAGCGAAAAGGTGGGGGTGGGAGGGAAGGGAAAGGCAGTGAAAGGCAATGCAGAAGAAATGGCGTGTGAGACAAGGTGGGACCGGAGGTCTCATTCTCCGCTCCGGAGAAATCAATCGCTTAAAATTGCTCCTTTTTTTGTCTTATTTTGCGTGTCTCCGAAACACCCGGCCGTGCACCATGTCCGTTCTCCCTTAGATTCGCGAGCAGAACCGACAAGACATGAAGTCGGCAGGACCACAATCGCAGCTGTTGGCAGGCGTTATCATGGAAAAGAGCCCCAGCACAGTAAGATCCAACAATCCATCCTTCCAGTAAAGCTGGACGGGAGGGGGGAGCCGCGGAGAAGGTGATTTGGGGCGAGTTGACTGAACGGGCAGATGCAGTTTTAATGGGGATCGATGTGAGCTTACCCAATTTGGGAACAGGAAAGAGGGATTATTTTCTGAATGGCGATTGATGGGGAATGGGTGGGAGGACGTGTAACGAGACCTGGGTGTCCCCTCCTACAGCAGTCGCTGAAAGTCAGCCTCGCAGGAGCAGTGGGGCAGGTGAGGAAGGCCAATGGGATGTTGGCCCCTCCATAGCGAGAGGATCGGAGTACAGGAGCAGGAATGTCTCTCTGCATTGGACAGGGAGAGCCCACACCCTGGAGTATTGTGTGTGGGAGGTTTGGGGGTTCTCCTTATCTGAGGGGAGGGGGTTCTGGCGATGGAGGGAGAGCAGCGAAGGGTTTCCCAGTCTGATTCCTGGGATGGCACGGACTGACGGATAGAGAGAGACCAGATCAGGTTAGGATTATAGTCGCTGGAGTTTAGGAGAATGAAGGGTGGGGGGATTGCATAAAAACTTCTGACAGGGACTAGACAGGGTAAAGGATGTTCCCGATGACTGGGGTAGGGGGAGAAAAGAACAGGGGGGTCACAGTCTAAGGATACAGGGTTGGACTGAGATGGGGAGAAACGCCTTCACCCAGAGAGTGGGGGAGGGTGGGGGGTGCCTGTGGGATTCTCTGCCACAGAAAGCAGTTGGGGGACAAAACACTGAATGTTTTCAGGAAGGAATTGGATACAGTTCTTGGGGCGAAAGGGAGGAACAGGGGACTGAGTTGGATGAACAGCCAATGATTGTGTTGAATGGCATAGCAGGCTGGAAGGGCCGAATGGCCTATTCTTGCCAATGGTTGGATGACAGGTGGGCTAGGACCAGACACAGCGGGCGTAATGGCCTCCTGGTGGGGCTGGGCGGTTGAAGGGATGGTAGGCCGGGGGGGTTGGGTGGGGAGGTGGGGGCTCGGCACTGTGCAAGCAGACGGAGCTGATGACTGCGCCATCTTTGTCTCTCGCCAGTCCACGGATGGAGCTCTGGAGGCTGCCGGTGCCCGGAGTCCGGAAGAGGAGGTGGAATTGGCAGGCGAAGAACCGGAGCCCCCGAACCCCTTCAATGAGCTGACGGACCAGGAGCTGGAGGACTACAAGCGGGAGGTCCAGTGGAAGCAGCTCGGGCTGGACGGTAATGTGTCAGCCTGCCTCAGAAAGAGGCCGCTCAGCCCGTCGAGTCCGCCTTGGCCCTCCGCACAGCATCCCAGGCTCACCCTCCTACCCCTTTCCCTACGTTTCCCACGGCCAGTCCACCCTAACCTGCGCGTCTTTGGACTGTGGAGGCGGGGGGGGGAACCGGGGCCCCCGGAGGAAACCCCACGCAGTACCCCGGGGGGGGGGGGTCCCTGGCACCGTGAGGCAGCAGCACTAACTGCTGAGCCACCTCAATCACTGGATCACACGGACTGTAACCATATCACCTCACTTGCCACAAGTTGCAAGCATCCACAGCCAACTCTTGTTGAGCTCCCTCAATTTCTCCCTTCCTGATTTACAACCTGTCTCAGCCTCAAGTGTCCATCTGTGGGATTTCTGTCTTTGGGATCTTGCTGTGTACAAATTGGCCTCCCCTCAACGCCCAGCCATGGTGACCGAGCTTTTGAAGCGTCTGGTCCTATATCTTAGTGTACAGCTGACCGTGTAATTTACTTGCCTGGCAAACCCCACGAAGGGCCTTTGTGACCTTAAGTGCGCTATACAAATGCAGCTTCTTGTTGTTGACGTCCGTCTCAGTAGCGACCCAGGAGTGTGAAGGGATCTCTGAACACTCGGGAATTTCTTTCTCGCAGGCCCGGACGACGAGGACACTTCCGCTGGGATCTCTCCGCTCCGGAGCCCGGTCCCATCGCCCACTAAGTCGCCCACCTCTCCTCGCTCGCCAGGAGGTAAGGTACCAGGGAATCATGTATGCTCCCGCTCGTTCTCCCAGATACAACCGGCTACTGGTCTGGTCCAGCACGTCCTGCAACTGACTCACGGCCGAGACCAGCAGCCCCTGTCAGTGACTCCCCGCCGAGACCAGCAG